TACCATTAACGTAATAAGTTAATTTCTTATCGTTTTTATTAGCCTACCAATACCTAGCTAGAGTCATAAGCAAAAGTAAAAACAAACCTCATTCATGCTCTATATTAAATCGGTCGTTATGAATAACGATGATATTTGACAAAGCATTGGAGGGGCAAAAAACGAGTCACTCGTCTCAACATCGGAATCGTTTTAACTCGAGTGCTCACTCGACTCAGTTTATTTGCTCAAGAGTGTTTATTTCACATTCTGGAGTGACTTAGTGAAAGGTATCTTGCCGTTTGTCACATATTTATTAAGCGGCAATTAATAATAACCTAATTCGAAATGTTTATCTATACTAATATTATAAAGAGTAAAGCTCTGATCGTTGGGCTGTTTTCATTGAATAACCACAAAATCTATTGGACTATTTTTAAGAAGATTAAAAGTCGACGAAAATGATGCTATGGGCGATAGAAAAAAGTAATGCAAACCAATGAACCAAGTTAACCTTAACATAGGACATAAGTTACCTTTTATTTTGATAAAAGGGTTGAAATAGAGAATGAGATTTTCTACGGAATTTCATCATTGTCAAAGATAAAAACATGAAATTTTACAATCAAGTATTTACACCATATAATAAATACACATTTGCTTTAATCTGGTGTCAATAAGTATAGTAACTACACCTCGCGGGCGAAGTCAAAAGCTAGTATATGACGTTTCATGTAGATTGATTTCAAAATATTAAAAACCGTTTTGCTATAATAGCTTTTTGTTAGTTTTTGCTATAATAATTTTCAGGATTATTAATTAGTAATTATTAAAATATTAACTTATAACATATAACTATTTAATACTTAAAAAATGTAATATGGTGAAAGTGATTTTTTACGGACAAAGTAGATGATGAAGAAATTCATCTTTCATTCGATTCTTACGTGTTAATGATTTATGACTTTTCTAGCAAATTTGTTTCACCAATCCAATGAACTGACTATTAATAAAATAACAAATTTTAAATTTAAATGTATGCTGTGGTGCATTCGTTAATTAAAAAGGACGTATTTCATTTATCTGAAATTTCCTCGAACATCAGAACACACGTTTCTTTTACACAAGCAATGATTTGATTGCATACAATAGTTAATAATCATTTTTGTACTTATCTGTGTAATGTCAAACGGTAGTAACCCTTAAAAAACTATTTAGTTTGCTGCCACAAGGACTGGTCGTGTGAACACCGTCTTTGTTTTCTTTGGCCTTTGGTTGTGCGTAACGTAAATACTTGGGAAGTCTCAAAATAATTCGGAGATCTATTGATCTATTGCACAGATTCGGAAGAATGGAGTTTCTATATCTTGTAGGAACTATTTTCGATCCTTAAAATTTTCAATGATGTTTCTACATTTAAAAAAAAAATATCTTAGAGATGGTTTTTATTTTTGCTACATTTTCATCAATAAAATAAAAAAAGAATGAGAAAAACACGACAGCCATAAACGAAGTAAAAATGAAAGAAACAAGTTTTATTATGGCTTGTCGAAAAAAGATTCGCAAGCAGTCGGAGGACCGTTCTATGGCGTTGCGTTCTGAGTGCTTAGTGTAAGTTTTTTTGAGCGCCCCTAGCGGTAACTGCCAAGAACTACAAATCTCCATACAAATTCTTAACGCGTTATCGTAAAATTTACACTTACCACTCTGTATTATAAATATTTTATAATCTATGTCGTGTTCACATAAAACTCACATAAGTCTATATATGGCCAGGTGAATGTGAACACGGAACCTGTAAAGGGTCCGAAACGTCAATAAAACTAAGTACAAACGCGATGAAACCGTATAAAGTTGTTTCATTTATGGATAGTGCGCGTGAAAATATAAGAAATCAATATTCACAATCATAACTTATTTCGTTCTTACGATTCATTGATATTACAGAGAAAAGCGGAAATAAAAAAATAAAAGAACATAATCAATCAGCTCATTGTTAGCGAAAATAAAAACCATAAGTTCAATAAATGAACAAGTACAAAGGCAACCAGGGGGCTAATAGTCCGATTTTAAAATCTATAACCATCTTCAATTCTACCTTCAAATGATATTCAGGAACTTCACACCGCAACTATTAGAATATAGAGATTGCGACCACAAAGGTTTTGAAACACATTGAAAGAACGAACTCGGTAATTTAATTTTAATCGGAATTGTCTAAGGAAAGTGTTACAGAGAATATCATTGAAAGCTATTGTGCAACGCCAAGCGTCAGAGTTATATGCTAACTACAATCTTTCGACAGGTTTAGGTAAGTTTTTTATGTACACAAGAAAACATTACGATTCCTTCACAAAAAAAAGTAGTGATCATAATCTTAACACAAGAAATAAAGATAAACTTGCCGTTCCAAGCTTCAGACATCAAAAAACCAGAGGATCATTTCTGGTTAAATGTATTGCTATGTTCAATAAAGTTCCACAAAATGTAATTGACCTACCCATAAATAAATTTCAAATTCATGTAAAGAATATACATATGAGTAAAGGTTATTATAAAGTTGATGATTATTTTAAGGATCGCAATGCATGGAATTAATAGCCTTCGCTTTGTTCTTTAAAGACTAATTAGATGTTCAACCTATGTCCTACAGACTTTGAAAGTTGTATTTACTATTGTAATAAATTGATAATACATATTATTTTGGTAATGACATGATTTATGTAAATATTCTTCTTGTCAGCTAAAAGACGTCCTGAACAAGTGGTAGGGGATTAAAGTTTTTTGGACGATTCAAAAGTGCTTGTAATAGCCTACTTGAATAAAGATATTTTCATTTCATTTCACTATGTTTGATTCTATAAATTGCTAACACAATAGCTTTACCTTTGAAAAGTATTGCATAGTATTTGAAATTAAACAATTAGCCAACAGCTGTAGCTCTTCTTAAAAACAAAACAAATGAACACAGATATCAAAGGCCCGGTTTCAGAACGGAGAACAGAAAAAATAGCACGTTCTAGGATAAAACAATGAAGATTTTCTTTTGATGTTTTTCTGTATAATTTTAATAGTTATTTTTCTATCTACGTTAAATAGAATTGGTGTATTAGTAGAAATTCGGTGTATGTTCTGATAGTTTATTTATGTTTTAACATTCCTTGTATCTGAACCTATCTGAAAAAGGTTGTGAAAATGCAAGTTACTCGCCAAATTACTTTTGAAATACTGTAATGAGGGATGATACAAAAATAAAGTGCATGTGGTAAAATAGTTTATAAAGTTTGAAGATTATTAAATTTTTTTTTTTAATAGTTTAACAAAAACAATTTTTCGTTATTTATAGTCTGTGTCTCACGTCAATTGAAATACCAATCAGAGCGCGTGACGTCATTTGTGTGTAAATTATTAGGAAAAAATCTAGAAAAAGAGCGGGTAAACATATAAAATACAAAGTAATTTTAATGATTTACTTGATTTTAACACGTTGCAAGGGTCAGTTATATTTTATTCATTTGTGAGTTTGAATATAAATACTGCATGCAATAATTTTTATTCACCGAAAACCCCTTTTGTTTGAAACTCTATTATCTCGGATCTGGAGGTTGTGCTACCATAGTTGTTTCAGATTTTGTTAATATTCCAAGTGATTAAAAAAGAGAAAATAAGATCTAAGTTTTAATTTGAGATCTGAGCAAATTATGAGATTTTGTCTAATAATTCATTATCCTCAGCCCTTTTATGTCCCCCTGTGGGGGATCAGGCTTCAAGGAGGATGGGCCATAACACTCCACATTGGCCCAGTGCGGATTCGAAGGTATTAACGACACAATGTATTAAAACAAATGTAGCCGAGACGAACGGTTAATAAATTTAGGTCACCCATCCCGTTCATCATCATCATCATTAGCGTTCTTGTTAATCAACTTTCGCAAGGGTTGGTCCCTCGCGAAAGTTGCTTAACAAGAACCACCAGTTTTCTGCCTCGTCCCAGTTTTCTTAAAACTCGATCCCAGGAAAAAATGGTCACGTCAGTCAACCCCAATTAATTACTTATGACTTAGCCACCAGGAAAATCCCAATAAGATCGGTAGTTTTTGAATTTAACGCTCCCATTTATACGGACAAAGAGGACAGATTTGCTCGATTTGGTTATGAGCATTGAATAGGATCCAAAACTACTGCATCAATTTCAAAAATTCTTCCACTTACGAGAAGTAACATTATACACGGGTGACATACGCTATAATTTACGCGGATGAAGTTGCAGGTATTTTTAGTGGGTTTTTGAGTTGACTTATATATAAACGCACAGCCGAAACTACTTTATCTAGAAACTTGAAATGTGGTACAATGGTTTCTTTTATGATGTAAGTGAACACTTAGAAAGGATATTTAGAAATTCAACCCCTAAGGAGGTGAAATATGGAGATGTAGTTTACATAGAATTTTCTCATTTTTGGACTAAGAAGTATGAAACTAGACCTAGTGGGCAAAGCCGTTGGCGGAAGGCTAGTAATAAATAAAGATTTGCGATTACTGATTGATAGACTTGTACTATTGTATGACAAGTATATCATAACAAACTAGGTAAGAAATGCCAGGTAGAATTTGTTTGTTTAACACAATTAGAGTTTCGCATGTGTGTACTAATAATAGATGTGTACCGATCGCTTCCCTGTCGATCAATACTTTCAGTAATCACTAGAAGTCTGGTTTTTATTCGTGCTACACAATTTGTTACGAGAATAATCTTCCTTGGGTACGTTATTCACAAATAAAAATTTAACATTTACATGTCGAAACATCGAACTAAAAATATAGCTTAACTTTAAATGATTATTAGTTAAATAAGCGTGACAGATTTATCAGATCGCCCACACGCGTCGTTATTAAAACGATTGTCTGCATCCCCACCTTTAGATTTTCTAATCTTGCGGAGGCTAATCCGCTAAAAATCTTAGCCAAAATAGCGCGAAAATTGTTTCGGTGTGCGCGTGCGGCGGGGAGCGCAGGTGAGCTCAGTCCGCGCCGCGATCTCCCACCGACTGGGAACCACTCGCGAGACGCCGCGAAAACTGCCGAACCAATACACGTCGTCCGTGAAAAATATTTAAAAATCGAACCACGATACCGACGATATTCTTTAAAAAAAAAGAAATTTAAAAAATAAAGAATGTCCGCGCTGGTTTCCCCATAGATATTATAACGTTGCCATGTTTAGGGTGTTAGGGTAAGAGTGATGTCCCTCGAGAGATGCGGCCGGTTGTCATCGCCGCCTGCCTGCTGCTCCTCGCGCCCATCACCGATTCCTGGTGGTGAGTTCTGTATACTTAGACGAAAAAAGGTATATCAGTCAATCGAGTACAAGGCAAAGAAAACAATTTTTAAAAAGAACAAAATTTTCTTTGGATGTGGGCAAAACTTAAAAAGGATAAATATTACAATTTGAATAGAAATATTAACTTCAATATGAATCGAAATATCGTCATGTTGCCGCAAAAATGTGGTTCTAATGTAATATAACTGATCTAATCAAAATTTTGTAAGAAAAAAACATCGGCGTCTGAACAGTCTTTAAGCTTAAAAAGGGTAAAAGTAAAATTTACTAACGCAAAATTTGTAGAGCTTTTATATCTAAGCAAGGAGGTACAAAAAAAACAAAACTTTCATAACTAACCGATAAAATTTGAAGCATTTCAATAATCAGCAGTTACATTTTTGTAGTAAGTACCGTGCTCTTTATAATTTTCATATTGATATTGTTTCCTGAAGAATCCTGAAGAATATTGTGTCATTGTATTGCGTCGTATCTATATAGCGACAACGATTTAAAATCCTTCTTAATTAAAATAAGTAGATAATTTAACTCTAGCTGACGACACTCTATAATGTATCTTTAAATTATCCTTATGATAAATTCATAACAATTTCTTCTAATGCAGGTATGTGAATATCATTATGCATTCGATGTAATTAGTCATTTGTCTAGGGATTTTAGATCAGTACGATGTATTTATAAAGTATTTATAAAATATATTTATTAATAAACAATGTTGTTAAATAAAATTAGTTTTAATCGGTTATAACGCGTATATATTAATATGCACACGTATTTGATTTCATTAGACGTTTCAGATCCTTAACAGGTTCCGTGTTTATGGAACTTTCTAAAGTTATTTTATTTAATAATTAATTCATGTGTAAAAATATATAAAAATAGTCAATGTTATAGCTTTTTATTTATAAATTTAAACAGAGCTTTGCGGCTTTTTATTGTAAGAAAATGTCATGTTACTTTTTTAAGGCAATCTCTAATAATAGTCCAGGCAAGAAGCATCTTAAAGCAAAATCTAAAATTATTAGATTTCTTAAATTTATAATTAACGTTGGATACATCTATGTCAAATATCTACATATGAATAACTTAAATACCATAATCAAGTAGCCTTCTGAGCTCTATAATGCAATCTTTGCGTATTTTTTTTACTTATTTTAGTGACACTTCTCTGTTACAACTGTTATTCTTCGTTTTTTTTTTTCATTTTTCCATCCAATGCAATTTCGCCTGGAAGAAATCGCTGGCTGGCGATAAGGCCGCCTTTTGTATACTTATCAAAATATTTATGTGAGTCTATGTCATTTTCTTTGTTTATGCAATAAAGAGTATATATTATTATTATTTTTTGGTCTATGTTTAGAACCATTATTGTAATAAATAATTTATAATTTATTTCACTATAATATAAACCAAGATAGCTTACAAAAACATATTTAAATTCATCACAAACGTTCGTTATCGAACATGGGACCTATAAAGGACTAGGTGGTCAAACTACACAAGTGTATTAATTTTATTCTGTGTCAAAGCTGCATTTTTTAATCTTACATAACATAGATGTTACAAAACCTTTTGAATTTTGACATGGGTACAACGTATGCATCAGTATTACCCTATATTATCCCCTTACACATGGTAAAAGTGGTATGAAAGTGAATATGATAATTATGCAAACAAAATATATTCATATTACTTAGTAGTTTCATTGAAAGCAGTCAATGGTTCATTCGACATAATTAACAGAAAGAAAAGAGTCACAGTAAAAGTACCAACATTGGATAAGTAATACAGGAAACAACCAAACGAGGACTATCACAACTGATATGAAATACATGAGTTATTTCTTAAAGTGATCCTAATAAGGGAAAATTTATAAACTTACAATAAATTCAGGAAATATGGAATCTACTTACGAATAAGCTTGCCCTCTTTAAGCCTTTATTATTTCACATTTGTGTAGTTTCCTCTACTTATTATATATTCATAATGTCTATCATACGACCTTATAAATGAACTTCCAATTAAATTGACTCATATTTAATTGGTTTATAAGGTCGTTTGCGATTTTCTAGCGTAACTTAAAATTATGTTTCGAATAAATAGTGTGAAGGGCTCGTGGCTTGGGTCAATTAATGAAAGGCTGACAAGCTTGAGTATGGATTTATTATTGTATAAGGATAAAGTAAAGAACCATTTTTGGGTTTTCCTTAATAAACAAATACTTATTAAATCATTTAACGTGTTTCTTATATAGAAATTTCACTTTAAACATATAATTTAAAATATTTTATTAATTACAATAATAACATGTTACGTACTGTTCAAAGAATTTTCACGAAGTGACATCCATAAAGAGTATATTTGATTAGTCAAAATTTTAAATTATGAGAGATGAATAATAAAAAGAAATGATGTTGAATATTAAAAGACAAAAAGTTTACATGCTGAAACCTAGGGAAATAAACAGTGGTATGGCACACCGTAACAATAGTCCCAACCCAGAGTACCTGTGGCAAGTGGATTTTTTAAGCAATTTTTATTAAGAATATTTCATCAAACAAAATAATTTTTAACTTTCATCTTCTAATGATGTTCCAGTGACTCAACAATTTGTGACAAGTGCATGGAGTGCACTAAATTCTTCCATTTTCGATATGTTTTTTCTAATTAGATGTATATCCGAAACATTTGTTTATAACTTATATCCAGTTCAATGTAAAAGAGCTGCATCTGATCGTAGTTATTCCCGGTGGTTCGTTCCACGTGACAAGTTCCCACGTTTCGACTACGGCACGTTTTCGCCGCCGTAGCAAAACTGTATCATGTTAAGCGTACAATTAAAGTGTAATTAGTACTTTTATGATGAAATATTCTTTACAAGTTTGATGATAACTATACTTTTGATATACACCATTTATAGTAACAACCGTGTCACAGTTGATATGCAAGCAGTAGCGTATAATAAATGTGAATTGATCGATGTCGATGAAAGAATACTGTAGCCTGAGGGTGGAGAGATTCTAATTTGAAGTGAGGTCTTTACACAGATCAGAGTAATAATTAAATAGCTTTCTTTATAAGCTATTAAATTATATTTTTGAAACTAAACTAAATATGTAATGGCTAAGAATATCGTATAATGTTACAATTGTAATGGTTTGTGATGAAAATAAACAAATAAATACTCGAAACATAATTTTAAGTTTCGCTAGAAGATAGCATACGACCTTATAAATGAACTTTCAGTTAAATATAAGTCATTTGGAGCAATTAAACATAGACATTATGTGCCAATATATAATAAGTAGAGGAAACAACACAAATGTGAAATAATAAAGGCTTAAAGAGGCCAAGCTTATTGGTAAGTAGAGCCCATATTTCCTGAACTTATTAAGTTTATAAATTTGCCATTATTAGGGACACTTTGAGAAATAATTCCAGTATTTCGTGTTAGTTGTGCTATTTCACATTTGGTTATTTCTTGTATTACTTATCTGCTTTAAAATTTTAGGTAACAAATTAAATGCAAGGAATTATACTATTTGATCATGTATAATATAAAAATGGATCATCTAAACGTATATTCGCGCATAGCTTCAAACGACAGCACCAAATAATATTAATTTTTTAATGTGTTTCTAATAGTCGGAAGTAGAATTTAAAAAAAAATCTCAGTTGCCAATGGAAAGAGAAAGAGACTCAAGGAGAGAGAGAGAGAGAGAGAGAGCAAAAGATAAAATATAGCGGTGGGAGGTTCGCCGAGTCAGCTAGTTATTAATAAAAAGAACAAAAATACAAATATATTTCTAAAATTCAAAGAGTTTCCATGTCTTTTTATAGTTTGTTGAGTATATTCTTTTATAGTGACTATTGATAGATTCAAGAGAAGCTTTGTCGCCTCGAAAAGAGCGATTTCATAATGATCGTAATAGTGTTTATGAACGTTAAGTTAAACGTATTATTTTCTATCGTCGTTCTATATTCTAGTCACAATGGGTGTCACGAGAGGGTCACATTGATGTCTGCTGTCGCACACTTAAGTTACTGAGTACCAATTTTACTGTGATTAATTGTGACTGTGACTTAAATATCGCGTGACGAGACTGCATCTGTTACAAAAAAGAATAGTCACCACCGTTATTCTATCAATTATAACAGGGAAGTGCAATAAACCGATTTTCAATGGAACTGTCCGCATCTTTGTTCTTCAGCTGACTTATGAAGAACATAAAGCATGATAAACGATTGTGTTTATCTAAATTTGAATGAATATGCCATTATTGTTAATGTTTGTTGTGATGAGATGACATTTTTATTTATAATTAATATATATAATTCAACTAATATCTTAACAAAAACCAAATGGTTTTGATACTTCTACAAAAGTATAAACGTTTGCAGCAACGTAACGTTTTCACGTTTTCAACGTAAGCATTTCAACGTAAATGAACAAAGCGAATAAATGATTATTAGTGAGCCTTTTTAGCTTTTTTAACTTAGTAAATTCTATCTACTTAAGATAGATAACCTTGTCTATTGTAACACACTTACTCAATATATATATTCCAAAACGAATAAAAGTTGGAATCTAATACCTGTAAGAGCAGTTGTATACTTCATTATACATTCTATTCGCATTTATTAATTAAACATTAAAATAAATATTTAGAAACATGGAAAATATTTAAGTAAATATATTAATTGTACGATTTGGTTATTGGTTTCGAATTAGCTCAATTTTATATATTATTTTATTTTAGATAGTGTGATAGTTTACAGAAATAGTCAGAACTATATCCATCCGTTAAGTATGTTTGACTACCATAATATAAAAGTATTAAATATGTATCTTCACATCGTTTTTAAACATCTCCATCAAGTATCAAATCGTATATACCCGAGTCGTCAATAATACCGATCGATAATAAATTGGTAACACGAATCATAAATCACGCGCATGAAATTCAATAAAGTCAT